AAAAACTGCATTAAAACTATCGAAGTATTTAATTGTATAAGCTTTTAATTGTTATCATAAATAATATAAATGAAGGATGTAGTTTGAATAAAAAAAAAAAACTCTTTCGATGACTAATGAATTATTAGAAGAATTGTTCCTCTCCTCATTTTATTATAATATTTAATGTTTAAAATGAATTTCTAAAAATAAACAAAGCATTCCTGAAGAAATATATGGTGTATAATATATACGAAGCCTTTTCGATAACGATATCATTACGCGCCAACGGGACCGAGTGAGTCATCGTTATTTTGCACACTGCCCCTCAATTTTTACACACAAGAAAAAAAAAGTTATACATATATATATATATATATATATATATGTGTGTGTGTGTGTGTGTGTGTGTGTGTGTGTGTGTGTGTGTGTGTATGACATAAAATGCTTATTTCCGCCTCAATATTAAGTATTGTAATAAAAATAAATTTTAAAACTTTCCCATCCCTCTCTAAATTTGACCATGTCTCTCACACTATTCCTCACCACCTTCTATGTCACCTTATATAAGCTTAATACTGCCCTTCAAAAGTGTACATTTTAAATTCATTTTTTCACTCTAGAAAGTAAAGTCTGAAGATCCAGAGAAAAATAAAATCTCTGGTGAAATAAATTATAACTAATGGAAGGTTAAAGTGATCTGTTTTTTCTTGAAATTATATATATATATATATATTCGAGGCACGGTGGTGTAATGGATAGCGGCTTGAATTGAGGAATCGCAGAGCCGAGTTCGAATTCCAGTCGAATCCATTACATTCACTTACGTGCTAATACCCTTGGGAAAGGTAGGAACCCTCTTCTTCTCCCTCCAGCTATGGGTAAATAGCAGGAGAGACTGGGTTCTATAGCCTTGGATGGGAACTGGTCTAGGAGAAGGACAATTCTGAATTCAAAACCTGCGGAGGGTCGTTTGGGAACCTTGTGGCATTCAGTGCACCAGGTCTCTGTGTTCGTCCCTTCAAAAAGTGTGGATGCTCCTGCACGAGGCCTTCACCACTATAATCAAATCTCATGCGCCGGTGTCGGGCTGTCTGTCGGTTTCCTGGAAACTGATCTGCTTGACCCTCATACGTCGAATCTCGACAGGAGAGTTTTTTAATATATATATATATATATATATATATATATAGATGTATGTGTGTATATATATATATATATATATATATATATATATATATATATATATGGAATGACATTTATTATGACCTGTCTCTAATTTGTATTTAGATACATTGTGCTTAATTTCAATATTTCTAGTTTAATTGTTCACCTATATTGTATATAATCCATTATTGTACATAATTTTATATTTTATATGAATACTACCTTCTGAAAATTGAAATTAATTTAAAACAGGGCTCAGTACACAAGTAGACCAATACATATGTATTTATTATGCAGTGTTACATTAGAACATGAACATATCCACTACAAAACTGTACATCTTGTTTCAGCGTTAAATTTTTTTAACGTTTCATCAGGTTGGAAATCACGATGTTACTAAAACTTAAGGTTTAGTAGCATCGTGATTTCTCTCTGTGTCCGTTTTGGGATGGCACTCATACATATATTATAAATGCCATCCCAAAACGAACACAAAGGAGAATCCCCCCTGCTACCACCAAACATAATCAAACAGAAAATGACATAAATAGATTAAATTTAAAAAAAAAAATAATTCAGTTTGACTGAGGATCGCAAAAGCGGGAAACTCAGGGTTACAAACTCACATCCATACATATATATATATATATATATATATATATATATATATATAAGTGGACATTGATGTCGAAATCCACGGCGATATTCTGTTTCATGCTTAAATCGAATCACCATGCTGTCGATTGATTTTAAGCTGAAAAAGACTGTCGCGGCTAGATGTTGACTTTAATATTCACTTTTATATTTACATACGCTCTGTTCCTGCTATCGAGCCATTTAACTAAGAAATATAGTTTTAAAATATTTTGGATTAGTAATAATTTCGTTTATAGTAGTGCTTTTTGTATTTTGTCCGGTTTCGAAGCAAGTATTGTTAAGTGTAGGTCTGTTTAGCATACCTCAAAACTATATATTTATCACACACACACACACACACACACACACACACACACACACACACACACACACACACATATATATATATATATATATATATATATATATATATATATATATATATTAAAATATTAAGAAAGAACAGTAAGATTTATAATCCGGTGTTCTTAATAATTATTTTTATTTAAAAAACAATCAGTGCTCGATACAAACAGTAGAGCATAATATTTTAATTATTTTCTTTTTTAAAAATATGATTCCGTCACGACACAGAAATTTCTGTTTCAACGACACGCCGAATAACGGATGTCTTTGTTTCTGAATTTTAACTTCCTCATTGCCCACACCATGTCATCCTCAACGCTAGAAAACGAACATACAAAGTACACATATCCAACATCATCGACAGCATTTCTAACACAAAATTCAAAATCCTACTTTTTAACACTCTTTTTACTAAACTTAAATAAATTAGTTATCCTTAACTCTAGAATCTTTGCCATCACGTCAAAGACAGAGATAAAATTAGGAAGAAAAAATAAATCCAACACCAATTCAGATGCCGGAACTTATTAAATAAATCTCTTCAATGTAAAAGCACTTATATCGGCGAGACATCTCGAAATCTAAAAGCCCGTATTTACGAACATAAAAGGGATTTATGTTTGGAGAACCATTTAAACACCCAAATTAAAAAAAAAGAACATAATTCTTTACGTCGAAGGTACTTTGAAGGATTATTAATAAATAGTTTACCAACTATAAATACACACCAAAACATTGTATTACATTGCAAACGTTTATTGAAATTATTCTTAAAGAATCTAACGTACGTTTATCTAAAACACACAGTGTGAACATAAAAAATGTTTTCAAATCTACATGCAAAACCCCACCAAACATGTCTGCTTGGCGTAGACAAATATATATACGAATAAACGTTATAGCTGAATTCCACATAGACAAAGTAGAATTATTTTAAACTTACGCAAAGAAATATTTATGGTTTTTCAGCTAAGCATGGAATCCGTTAATTCCTTGGAACTTCGAAAAGCAACGTCATCTCTTTTTGCATTCGGGACGCCATAAATTATAGTAACGTTTGTTTAACAAATCAAATGTACGTGAAAGCCGATTAAGCAATGAAAATCAAGCAACACAAAATTAAAATAACAGAATTTATTTCTTCTTTATCTCCACATCTCTTCTCTAATCAAGTTTTAATAAAACTGAAACATTTTTGATTGATAAACGTTTCCTGTTTGTTCTTTATTTTATCATTCCTCAGATTCCGATCCATATTTGATTCCAAATATATATATATATATATATATATATATATATATATATATATATATATATATATATATATAAAATGTGTGTCTAGGGAGAGGGATAAAGTTAAATGAAAGTTTAATAATTAGAAAATACATTCTCTGAAAACACATTTAAGAAAGGCATTCAGGTGTACTTTCCAAAGTCTGAGAAAATTCTTTACAAGTTTTTATATCCCCTAAAATTAAGATTTCTTTTAGTGTAGCTTTTGCAACAAGATGCCTTCTCTGATGCCTTATTCTTAAACTCTAAAATTTGATATTGCAATACTGCACACAAAACATTTTTTTCTTTTTCCCGTATATTTTTTTAATTTAAAAAAAAAAAAAAAAAAAAAAAAACGGTAAATATAGACTCTTTAACCCAAATTATCTTTCCTTGCATATTTTTAGAGGAAATTTTTTCTCTTAGGCTGTCATAAGGTGTTTTATTCACTCCGGTATGTATAAAATGCCCAAATTCTCATGATAAATAGTTTATATATATATATATATATATATATATATATATATATATATATATATATATATAGAAAATAATCAGAAAAATAATCAGAATGCAAACATTTTTACATTCGTTGATTTTATTTGAATACTGATTCATAAATTCTCCCCCGCTCCCGGTTATAAAAAGGCTATATGGCCCCAAGCAACGAAAATTATTTTTGGTCTTGTTTTTTCTGCCTTTTCTTGCTTCTATGTGTACGAGAAGTTAAGGTTTCTTACATTTCATTTGGAGGAATTTTTTGCTTTCTTCTTTGCTTTTTTTTTTTTATATATATAAAAAGAACGAGAGAAAAGAAGATTGCTAAAAAAAAAATAATGTGTTGATGGTTGTGGAGGCGGGCAAAAAATTTGGAGAGAAAAAAATGAAACGTACTAGCAAAGAATTAATAAGCAGATGTTGGATAGGATAAAGAAAATGGAGGAAGAGGAGCCGGAGCAGGAGGAAGAGGAGCAGGATGAGAAAGAGGTGCAGGAGGAGGAATGGAAATAGACAGGCAAAGTATCGAAAAGAAAAAAAAATGAAAGAAACGTAGAAGGAAATGCAAGTGAAATAGAAAGAAAAGTGGAAAAGAAGAACAAATGAAATATAAGGATGAAGAAAAAGAATGAAATAAATAGAGGAAGAGGAGGAGAATGAAAAGACGGGGAAGAAAATGTAATTGAACGGGTGTTAAGATGACAGATTAGATGGAGGCATAAGTTTTGAAAGAGAAAGAAGCGTAATAAGAAAAAGAATCAATAATAAATGTAAAAATAACTCGTTCGAATGATGAAAAGTGAATAAAACATGAAGAGAAAGTAGGAGGAAATAAAGAGAGAAGTATGAGGAAAGAATGAAAGAAGTAGGTAGAAACAATGGGAGAAGCAGGGAAAAGAATGGGATAAGTAGGAGGAGAGAAACGGGAGAAGCAGAAGTAAATAAAGAGAGAAGTATGAGGAAAGAATGGAAGAAGTAGGGGGAAAAGAATGGAATAAATAGGAGAAAAGAAGAGGTAGAAGTAGGTGGAAATAAAGAGAGAAGTATGAGGAAAGAATGAGAGAAGTAGGCAGAAAGAATCAGATGCGTAAATGAAAAGAAAAGGAGAAGAGAATGGGAGAAGTAGGAGGTGAGAATAAAAGAGGTAGAAGAAAAGAATGGGAGAAAGAGGAAATGGAGGAAAAGTAAAAGAGCAGAAAGGAGAAAAGGAGAGAGGGGGAGAAGAATAAAAGAAACAAGCGAGGAGAAAAGTAGAAGTGAGTAGCAGGGGAAAGAAAAAGAGAGAAAGGGAAAAATCGAAAAGAGGGGAATGGCGGAGAAGAGGAAAAGAAAAATGAGAAGAGAAGGAAAGACCCGAGAATGAAGGTGGGTGGGGTGGGGGAGAAATGGGAGAATAGAAAGGAGGAAGAAATAGGTGGGAGAAGTATTAGGAGAAAAGAAATGTAGAAAAGAGAAATGAAATTGAGGAAAATAGAGAAAGAGAGAAAAAGAAAAAGGAGAAAGGTAAAAGAGAAGAAAGGAGAAGAAAGAACAGAAGCAGGCGAGGAGAAACGAAAGTGAGGAAAAGAGAGAAAGATAGAAAGAGAAAAAGAGAAAAGTGAAAGGGGTAGAGAGAGAAATGAAGGCGAATAGAAAGATGGTGAAAGTAGTAGAATAGAAAGAGAGAGAGAGAAAAAGTGGAAAGAAAAATGGAAGAAAAGGGAGACGTAGAAAGACGGGGGTAAGATCGCATTAAATATGTCAAAGGCCTTTGATAAGGTGTGGCGTAAAGTATTGTTGTACAAGATTTCTCGTTATGGAATCACTGGAAAAGTCTTCTCAATTATCAAGTCCTTCTTAACGTTGTGGCGTACAATTACGTAGAAGCAAGCAAGTGGCCTTGCATCTAGTGCAAAGGAAAATAAGTTCCTTACCTCAATGCACGACACATAGCATCAAAATTTTGTTTCTTGAAAATGGCATGAATCTCCCCTCTACACGTTGGATTATTGCAACAATGTACCGTTGATTTTGTATAGCTTGGCGTAAGTTTTACAAGAAATGGAGAAGGGAAAGTGTTTAGTATGAGGTTTTATTTAAAATTCGATATGGCCACCAGATTTTGCTACCAGTTTCTCGAGCCGTCCATGAATCGCTTCAACTGATTTCACCAGGAACTCTTGTGATATGAGAGACATAACTTATTGTATTCGCCCTTTAAGTTCTTTCAAACTCTTGGTTTAGTATAGTAGACCTGCTCCTTTAACCAATCTTAAAGAAAAAAAATCACAGGGTGTTGTCAGGACTCCTATATAAAATAGTGAGTTACTTTTCAAAAGATTGATTCAGTAAATAAAACCAATTATTAGTCTGAAAAGTTCCTTATAGGGAATGAAATGCACCAGAGTAGTTTTCCAATTTTGACATTCAATTACCTGTAACATCAAATTGCAAAACTACTTAAGTATTACTATCATCCATCGATGTTATCTGTCAAATAGTATATAATTAACAATTAAACTGTTTATTATTTTATTAAATACTAGCAGCCATAGTGTGTTGATTGGTTGGACCGAAGAATGCCGTTTGCCTGGGTAACTGAGGACATGAGCAAAGAACGCTAATTGGTCAGTCGGCCGTGGTGTTGGTATTATAAAAGAGGGCTGAAGCAGTGAGGACTTTTAAGTTGGTGACATAGGCGGGAACTCAAACGGCGGATTGAAAAATAAGTATTTAGTATTGTACAAGCGACGTCAGAGGAACTCAAGCTAATTAATGCTACAAACCGGTAGGTCCTTGAAGGTAGTTGTTAGTTGCCTTACCAATCAACGCAAGTAACCGCCACGTTTCGCTTTGCGGGCCCACCCTCTTTTTACTTTAACTAAATTATCTACCTAGGTGTATACATCGATCATTTGTGAATATCTATGCTGATGAAACAATGGTATATGAATGCATCTCCAAAACACTAGATGGCCAGAGATTGGCAGCTGATCTCTCCTCTGACCTAGCTCTAACAGCTCAGAAATCAAACTAGCTACATTCCATCATCGCCGTTCGGATCCGGAATCACGATGCATAGATGTTCCACCAGGAAAGCCTCGTGCCTCGAGCGACTATTGGGCCTAAAACACAACCCGACCTCAAATCGATGCAGGTGACTTATTCAAGCAACCCACCCATGTGAAATCAAAGTTCACTGTTGAATCAGTAATAATCGTCATTACACAAGGCAGTTCATGAAACTTTATTTCGTGTTAGCAATTATTATAAGTACGGCAAGTGTTCAGCTATCAGATATTTTGCCTTCTGAAATAACCTATTAGCACAGGACACCCTTAAAGAAGAAATTAGGTTTGATAATATTCATCATAATCTGTCGGGTTTGTGTGAGAATAAGTTACGCGTTTCTTTGATGGTGGAAAGAATCGCTTACAGAATTTTAACATTTTAACCTTTTTGAGAAAGACAACGAATTATTCATATATTATTGAAAGCACAATTGACAAATCAGAATTTTATATATGGAAAAAGTAGATGTGAAAAAAGATTTTATAGACAGGAACGGACTGATTTTATAGACAGGAACGTGATTAGGCTATGAAAAACGCAGATGTGTGGGGAGGTTAGGGTTATTTTGTCACATAACTCTTCAGCAGGAGGTTGGAAATCATGGCTCCCAACAACCTCCTGTCTTTTGTTTATCTAATTAATTCTTGGACCTCTAGAGTCTATCTCAGTCCTTCTTTTTATCTTGTACACGTGGATAAAAAAAAAAATAGAACACTGGTTTCGAACAGGAACTCGTCCGATTGGTTGACTACAATTATTTTACCCGAAGAAAAACCGGAAGTGAATGCGTGTAAGATCCATCCCCGTATTTACTCATATGATAGATGCCCCAATATTTTCGGTGCATGAGGGTCCATCATTTCATTTCCTAGAACCCAACTGTCTGACTACTCGCCCATAAAGATTTGATTATGGTGGATAAGGCTTTGGGCGGAACTATTCACCTTTTCCGATGCACTGGATACAGAGAACTTATGCACATAGTGTCCCACGATGTCCTCCAAACAACACTCCTCAGGTTTCAGAATTTACCTTCCCCTAAACTAGATTCCAAACAAGGCTAAACAGTCCAGTCTGCCCAACTATGTAACGCATAGATGGAGGGAGACGAAATGAATTCATAGCGCGAGTGAATGTAAGCAACTCGACTGGAATTCGAACTCTACCCTCTGATATTCGAACTCAGTTCTCCAGTATCCATTATACCATCCGCACATCCACACACACACATATATAGGGTGATTTTCTAAGTTTAGTTTAGATGTGGCACAAGGCCGAAAGTATGGAACACTCAGCGAGTATCGAACTCACTAATCAGTCGTAATTGATCTAGCGAGACAAGCTTCCTAACCATTAGACCACATCGAAGTGCCTTCTGTCTAGGCGTAGTTTAGCTGTGACACAAAGCCGAAAGTATGGTGCACCCAATGAGGATCGAATTCACTAATCAGTCGTAATTAACGTGACAGCCATTTCATCGTTTCGAAGTTCTCCTAAATCAATTATATATATATATATATATATATATATATATAAATTGATTTACAATATGTTTTTTTTCGCTACATAGTTCTAACCATGTTTCAAAAATGGAAGCTAAAAGCTCCGAATTTAATTTTGCAATTAAATTAAAGACATTAATTCCATTTCATCCTCAAGCGAATTTTGGAGTAACTTTTAAAATTACTGGGTTTTAAAGACACAAAAACCATATTTTAAATCAATAATAATTTATAATATTAATGCTCTGTAAATTTACATTGAGCACTATTTTGTAAAAATAAAAATATCTATAAGAACACCGGATTATATATCTTACTGTTCTTTCTTTTTATTTATATATATATATATATATATATATATATATATATATATATATATATATATGTGTGTGTGTGTGTGTGTGTGTGTGTGTGTGTATGGTGATTGAAATTTAAGTTTCCATTTTAAAATACTTATAATTTACTTATTAACTATCATTTTTTGTGACGTACGGTGGCCGTTAGTCATTAAGTATAACTCAAAATTTCAATATTTAATTACAACCGTAGTATTTAATTACAACCACAAATAGATACTTAACAAGAACAAAAAAGTAAAAGTTAATCAATGATAATTAACTGTTTCAGTTAATACCTTGTTAGTAGCGCGGCTCGGCTTAACGTTCGGTAAATCCTAAATCAAAACCAAAATGATCGACGCACAATGATTCACACTAATTCGACTGGATAGTTCCACTGAATAATCACTGCAGTCAGTAGCCTGATACCGCTATTTATACACCTGGCCGAAAACGGTGTCAGTAGTTATTCATTTTCTTTCTATTCGACAAATTTTTACAAGAAATTTGTATGAGGGGAAATCATTTAGCCTGGGGAGATTTTGCTACCAGTTTCTCGAGCCGTCCATGAATCGCATCAACTGATTGCACCAGGAACTCTTTTGATATGAAAGACATAACTTATTGTATTCGCCCTTTAAGTTCTTTCAAACTCTTGGTTTGGTATAGTAACCTTGCTCCTTCAACCAACCTTAAAGAAAAAAAGTCACAGAGTATTAAGTCAGGACTTTTGGCCGGCCACTCATATATAAAATAGTGAATTACTTTTCAATCACCCTGTATATAACTTTGACTCAGTAAATAAAACCAATTATTAGTCTGAAAAGTTCCTTATCGAGAATGAAATGCACCAATGAGTAGTTTTCCAATTTCCTCATAACACCAAATTGCAAAACCGCTCAAGTATTACCTTCGATGGCATCCGTCAAATAGTATATAATTAACAGTTAAATTGTTTATTATTTTATTAAATACGAGCAGCCATAGCCAGCTGGTTGATCAGAAAAAGCGTTCAAATAGAATGAAGCAAAAACAGCAACATGTTTAGATGTAACAGAGTCTATCTTCAAAAATTACTTTAAAGTACTTTCATTAAAAAAACATTTTGAATTAATGCAGTTACTGGTATAACAAAAGTAGTCTGTATTTATTCAATCGAAGTTAGCCGATGACATGAAGGTGTAAAACAGGCAACATGAAGACCCACTTCAGGTCACAATTATTTTGGGGCTTTCGAAATTCAATTTGTCAGTGTGGTATCAGGGATGTAAAAGAGGATACATTTATAAAGCAATTGTTAAATTTGATGAAAATTGGTTGGAAGATCAACGAAAAATTAAAAAAACAACCAGTAAAAATCGCCATTTTTTGCTATTTACACGGATTTCCACTATATGGGTGAACTCACTTATCAAGTTAAATGACTGTTAAACAATCAACTTATTGTTGGCTACAATTGAGTGAAGTTTGTATTAGATTGTTTGAACATTGAGGGAGTTTTTATTTTAAAATTTCTGTTGAAATCGATTTTTCGCTAAACGCAGTGACGTAGAAATAAAAAAACGAGGTATCGTTGAGCTTGCCATGATGTAAGTAATCTATATATACAGAGTTTGAACGAAATCGAAGGAAAAACATTGAATTTATCGATTTTTCATCGGCTTTATCCATTATTGATTTTTTAAAAAATATCGATTTTTTACGCTAAGAACCTGTCTCTTACATTGTACAATGTATTTGCCAAGTTTGGTCAAAATCAGTTGGAAGGATTTCGAGTGAAAATGTATCACACAGACAGACACACACACACAGACATCCTTTGTTTTATATAGAGAGATTATGGGAAATAATTTAATTCAGTTTCCAGTTATCAGTTTATCGCCATTGTTCACTAACTGATACATATAGGTTTTCTTTGCTCAGCAGGAAGAAATTAGAATGCATCTCCATATATTAATAAGAATCACTTGGGTATGAATAGTTTTTATCTGAGTGGCTCACATTGCTGGGATTAAACTAAACCAGATATTATATTATTCTTAAAAGAAAGAGAGAAATAGAAAAAGAGAGAACTATTTTTTATAAAAGGATGTACACACGGTGAAGGCTTAACTAGAATGAGATAAAAACATTTAGTTGGCTGAATAATTCTTAGAAAAAGGGAGAGAGGACAAGAAAAGGGGATAGAAAAAGAGACAAGAAAAAAGAAAAAGAAGACTGAAGATCAAGAAAAGTAGAGAAAAAGACTATTAGAAATGAGAGTAAGGAACAAAAAGAGAGAAAGAAAGGGAGAAAAGAAAAAAGACAAGAGAGAAGAAAGTAAAAGAGAAGGAAAGGGTTGAAGGACAAGAAAAGAGGAAGGATAGCAAGGAACAAAAGAGAAAGAGAGAAAGAGAGAGAAAAGAAAAAAGACAAGAGAGAAGAAAGAAAAAGGTAAGGACTGACGATGAAGAACAAGAAAAGAGAATAGAGAGCAAGGAACAAAAAAGAGAGACTGAGAAAAGAAAAAGACAAGTGAGAAGAAAATAAAAGAGAAAGAAAGGCGATGAAGAACAAGAAAGAGGAAAGAGAGTAAGTAACAAGAAAGAAAGAAAGAAAGAAAGAAAGAAAGAAAGAAAAAAGAAAAAACAAGAGAGGAAGTAAAAGAGGAGGAAAGGGATGAAGAACAAGGAAAGAGGAGGGAGAGTAAGGGACAGGAAGAGAGAAAGAGAGAGAGAAAAGAAAAAGACAAGTGAGAAGAAAATAAATGAGAAAGAAAGGCGATGAAGAACAAGAAAGAGGAAGGAGAGTAAGGAACAAGAAAGAATGAAAGAAAGAAAGAGAAAAAATACAAGAGAGGAAGTAAAAGAGGAGGAAAGGGATGAAGAACAAGGAAAGAGGATGGAGAGTAAGGGACAGGAAGAGAGAAAGAGAGAGAGAGAAAAGAAAAGACAAGAGAGAAGAAATTAAAAGAGAAGGACTGGCAATAAAAATGGGGAAAGGAGAGTAAGTGTTATGGGGTCCTCTCCTTTTCATATAAGTGGACTCTACCAGTGTTACTTGGACGGCTGCCGTTAAATACCCAGAGTAGACAGTCAGTGAGGGTAGTTGGATAGAGATAGGATATAGTGAGAGTTAGAGAATATAGGAACGGAGATAATGTGAGGTAACCTCTTGTAGAATTCAGTTACAAGCACGTAGACTCTAAGGAAGTCCTACTTCGAGACTGTATATATCTATCTGTATTTGCTACTAACCTCGTTCCTGGACTTACTAACAGTATTACTCTTTGTATGATTGTGTAAATACATTTTATTTCTTATATTTAATTATTGCGTTTGTCATTCCTTGGAGAACGAATTCACCTCGGAATCCACAATAGTAAGGGACAAGAAAGACGTGAATGGAGAGAGAACAAGGAAAAATAGCGAAAGTGAAATAAGGAACAAGAAAAAGGAGAGAAGAGAAGAAACATGGAAAGAGCGCAGGAGAAAAGTAAAAAGATAAGAGATAGAAAACAATAAGCGAAGAAAGACTGTCGATAAGAAAGAAGAAAAAAGAAAGGAGAGTACGGAACAAAAAGATAATGGAGAGTAAAGGAACAAGAACAAAGAGAAACGAGAGAGAAGTACAAGAAACAAAGAAGAGAAAGAAAGAGCAAGGAAAAGAGAAAATAAAGAGAATGAGAGATAGAGAGAGAGAGAGAGACAAAAGAACAAGAAAAAAGAAGTGAAAGAAAGAGCAAGGAAAAGAGAAAATAATTTAAAGAGAATAAGAGAGAGAGAGAGAGAGAGAGAAGTACAAGAAACAAAGAAGAGAAAGAAAGAGCAAGGAAAATAGAAAATAAAGAGAATGAGAGATAGAGAGAGAGAGAAGTACAAGAAACAAAGAAGAGAAAGAAAGAGCAAGGAATAGAGAAAATAAAGAGAATGAGAGATAGAGAGAGAGAGAAGTACAAGAAACAAAGAAGAGAAAGAAAGAGCAAGGAAAATAGAAAATAAAGAGAATGAGAGATAGAGAGAGAGAGAGACAAAAGAACAAGAAAAAAAGAAGTGAAAGAAAGAGCAAGGAAAATAGAAAATAAAGAGAATGAGAGATAGAGAGAGAGAGAGAGACAAAAGAACAAGAAAAAAAGAAGTGAAAGAAAGAGCAAGGAAAATAGAAAATAATGTAAAAGAAATAAGAGAGAGAGAGAGAGAGAGAGAGAAGTACAGGAAAGAAAGAGCAAGGAAAAGAGAAAATAAAGTAAAGAGAATAAGAGAGAGAGAGAGAGAGAGAGAGAGAGAGAGATGTACAAGAAAGAAAGAAAGAAAGAAAGAAAGAAAGAAAGAAAGAAAGAGCAAGGAGCAAGGAAAAGAGAAAATAGAGTAAATAGAATAAGAGAGAGAATAAGAAACAAAGATAAGAGAGAACAAGGACTAGGCAAAAAAAAAAGAAAAAGAGAAATGAAAATGAGGTACCCACAAAAAAAAAGAAGAAAGGGAGAAAAAGGAATAAAAAAAGGCTATAAAGTGACAAGGAACTGAGAAAAAAGAAAAACAAATAGTGACTCGTTGCGCGTTCTCAGGGTAACATTCTTGGCTGACATGAAGTGGAAAGGCTATATTGAATCCATTAGACAAAAAAGGGTTTGGTTCGAACTTCCCATGTATATCCCCTGAAGAAGGCTAGAATGTACAATAACCGAAACGTTGTGAATATGGCAATAAAGATGAAGACAACAGTCCGAAAGATGAAAATAGTGTAAATAGTTACAATAGCTCATCTCAGATATATAGACAGACAAATACATTCTATAAATAAATATAAACAAACAATATTTATTCTCCAGAAGTATATACTTATAAAAACAACTATAAATTACCTACATTTACCTAATCTCGAACAATCAATATTTACCTATTCTTGAACTAATTAAATACCGATACGCTCAAATAAGACAAACAATATTTACCAATTCCCGAACCAAGTAAATATTTATAGACTCAAATATAAACAGACAATATTTGCCTATCCCGGAACCAAGTAAATGTTTATAACCTCATTTATAAATTAACAATACGCTAACCTCCAGGTGTGTGACTTGCTGTGCCTTTCTGGGCTAACGTTCTCGGCTGATATGAAGTGGAAAGACTATATTGAATCCATTGCTAGGTCAGCTGCAAAGAAAGTTGGTTCACTGTGTCGCCCTAGACAATTTTTCTCTCTAGACTTTCTCTTACATGTCTATAAGTCTACCATTCGTCCATGCTTAGAATACTGAAACCACATATGGACCAATGGTGCTTCTGTCATTTACCTGGAGCTCTTTGATAAAATCCAAAAAAGAATCAGCAATATTATAGGCCCCGTTCTGACATCTCGGCTCCAGTCTCTTTCCCACCGCCGGAAGGTTGCCTCCCTGTCCCTTTTCTGCAAATACTTTCATGGTAATTGTTCGGATAAGCGAAAGGTGGGTGACTGAGGTGAGCCTGGTTCGTGTGGACGGTGCTAGCTTTGATTTTCTCATTTAAGTTCCCTTGATGCAACGGGGTAGTTTCCTTTGTATCCTCCTCTGGTTAAGTTAGTCAATATTACGTTTTCCTAGTTAATGTGAATAAGTGTTGTTCCCAGCATTCTCTTTTCTTATGGCCCATGTTGAGATTCCCAACCTCCCCAGTTTGTTTTTGTCCCCTGTGAATATGCGGTATTGTGGTATATGCAGGATTGAGAGGTGATGGATTAGTTCTTGTGGTGAATGCGTAAATTATTATGAATGAGTCGTGAGTCAAATTAACTAGAACCAGGATGGCTAATAGATAAAGACCGCCCACTCCCTATTTCCCGCTTGGCCTTGTGTCACAATTCTGAATTATTTAGAATAAATACCCTCTTCGCTATGGACTGTAAAGATTGTTGGGAAGTGGGTATTACTAAATATTCACTGAGGTTTAAATTTTTAAATTGTTATTTTATAGAGATAATGAATTGTATATATGGTGACAAGTTAGGATTTTCAGAGACAATGAGGTATTATATCAGATGTACTAAGAAAGGTAAGTAAGAATGCATTTTTTTGGTGTAAGGAATATTGTGGTATGTGTGGGTCAGTGTTTGTGGCTAGCTAAGTTTAAAGTTAAGACAGATGAAGACCGTCCTTTTCCCCATTCTCCATTTTGACCTTGCGCCACTTCTTGTAGATATTTACAAATAAATCTCGCTTTTCCCTATGGTGACTAGACTATGAATTTAAGTGCAGTACTAGATTGGCGGTAAGGTCTCATCAATTTACGGTTGAGCTGGCTGAATGTAACCGTAAATGCTACGCTACCAGTTTCTTTTCTCGCACTTCTCGCTTGTGGAACTCCCTTCCGGCTACCTGCTTTTCAGCCAACTTTAATCTGAAAAAATTTAAATGCAATGTCAGTCGATATCTACAGCCCACCCCTATTACTCTTCTTTTGTTCTACTTCGTTACCAATGTTTTTAACTCTTCCACGCCCAGTACCCCTTGTTTCTCAATGGCTTTACTTGGAGCGAAATAGATTTTTTTTTAAAAATAAGAAAAAAAAAGGGGGGGACCATCGTAATCGGGATCATCAAGTCAATACGAATGATCCTTTCCTTAGCTGCGTATTATGTGCTTCGCTAGGATTACATACGCTTCTTCTTTTCTCCTAATCCGGTTGCCACTAAAGGCTATAGAACCCAGTTTGCCTTACTATTTAGCCACAACTGGGGGGGGAGTTGGATTCATACCTTTCCAAAGGGTATTAGCACGTAAGTCAATGTAATGAACTCGACTGGGATTCGAACTCGGCTCTCCGATTGCTCAATCCGAGATGCACAGATGCAATCACGAATTCCATAACTCTTAAAGACTCAACTTCTGCCGCGGATACAGAAGTGGTGTGTCTTAGGCAGGAAAGCCTAACGGGCCCATCCCTTTCCAGGCTGGTTTGAATTCCGAGTTTTCCTTCTATACTGGTCATCAACTAAGGTTATAGGGCCTAATCTGGCCTGCTATTTACCAGAGGGAAGAGTAGGATTCATACCATTCCCAAGGGTATTAGCACGTAAGTGAATGTAATGGATTCGACTGGAATTCGAACTCGTCTCTCCGATTCATCAATCCGAGCCGCAATCCATTACTCTACCGTGCCTCTTCAAGCCAGAAGAGTTGGATTCATACCTTTCCCAAGGGTATTAGCACGTAAGTGAATGTAATGGATTCGATTGGAATTCGAACTCGGTTCTCCGATTCTCATATTGAGCCGCAATCCATTACTCTACCGTGCCTCTTCAAGCCAGAAGAGTTGGATTCATACCTTTCCCAAGGGTATTAGCACGTAAGTGAATGTAATGGATTCGACTGGAATTCGAACTCGGCTCTCCGATTTCTCAATCTGAGCCGCAATTCTAAAAAAGAAGAAACGAGGTAAAAAATACCCTAAAAATATTAGCAATATTGTGTTGAGTTTAAATAATTCCCAACTAAATATAAAGAAATCAAATTAGATATAAACTAATAATTTATTTTTTTAAATCTGTTTTTTTTTTCTCTGAATTTATAAATAAAAAGAAGAAATACACAATCTTCCGAGTCTCAGAGATTTTTACGTGTGTTTCTTTTTACTTTTGTAATTCATCTTTCGCCGATCAAGGCAACCCCACACTTGCAACTAAACAAAGGCGTACATGTCACAGAATATTTAAAGTTGTTCAAGTTTGAAAGATGTTTGCGGCAAAAAATATAAATGTTTCTTGTATGATAAATATCTTCATTGTTTATTGATTTAGAGGTGCTTTTAAGAGGTGTTAAAATATAAAGAGAGTGAAAAAAAAAAGAAATATTTTATGTACAACATTGAAATACAATTTATTTTTTTTTTAAATCGCATTGAAGGAAAATGAAAGAAAATAATAAGAAACAATTTATAAATCTAAAGAAAAAAAGAACATTGTAATAATAATAATAATAATAATAATAATAATTTACACTATTTACATATCTTGTTGATCTATCTTTGTTCTCATACTGACGACGTTTCGACCGTTGTACGCTCCGGCCTTCTTCAGGTGGTATTCAGCAAGAGTCGGCAACTTACGGCACGCGTACCATGTGGCACGCCAAGCAATTTCCAATGGCACGCGGCCGTAAATCACATCACGAAGTCCGAACCAATTACTACTACAACGCAAAGATATTTGGTTGCTTCAATTTTATTATATACTAAAGTATATATACTAAATATTACTATGTAAAATGTATTGTAGACCTTGGCTTGTATAAAAATACGCATGCTGTTGGCGCACTGAATGATTTTTAAAAGGCGGCAAAGTCAAAAAGTGTCTCCTTACTGACATGGCAGTTCCTACAGACTGTAATGTATCTTTGAAGATATTCAAAAAACTATCAAAATAAAAGTACCTTGAAATCGAAATTTCGAAAATGTGGCACATGAGGATATCAATAACTTCAGTTGTAGTTGGAGCCCTCGGATTGATTGGAAAAGATTCCAACAGACTCATTGAAGGTCTTCCTGATAGCCTATGCCTTAAACAAATACAAAAACTTGTACTCACAAGTACAGCCCACACCTTACGAAGGGCTTTATCTCTGTAAAATATGTGAGAGTTTCCTCAAAAAATGCTCAGTGGAAATGTCATGTCATTTCTGACCGTATTCATGCCAGTAATAATCAGAGGACTAGGAATAGTTTGGAAGAGTCGAGACCATACATATATCAGTATTGTTGGGAACGGCGAGAATACTGAAAGGTGCACTCTAGTCATGAGGAGACTTGTTGTCACTTGATCTCCAATATCATTTACTACTGGTGTGAATATTCAATGAGAAAAAAAGGGGAATGAAAAGAAAAAGAGAAAGAAGAGAAAGGAAAAGGAAAGAGTAAAGAGAAAAGATAAAGAAAAGGGGAGAAAAAAGAAGACAATGAAAAATGGTAACCGAAAGAGAAGAGCAATAGAAAGGGATATATATATATATATATATATATATATATATATATATATATATAGATGTATATATATATATATAGAGAGAGAGAGAGAGAGAGTGAAGAGAAAGAAAAATGTGGAGTGAGAAAGAGAGAAGAGTAAGAAAATGTGGGGAGAAAAAGAAAGGGAAGAAAATGTGGAGAGTGAGAGAAGAGAAAGAAAAAATGACAAGAGAGAGTAAGGAAATTGGTGGGGAGAGGTGAACATGAAATAAGAGAAAGAGTGAGAAACAAGAAGAAGAGAAAAGAATAAGGAACAAGAAAAGAGAGAGGAGAGTAAGGAAAAGAAAAAAGAATGGAGAAAAAGGACAAGAAAAAGAGAAGTACAAGAAATAAGGGAAAGATTGAGGAACAACGAAAGGAGAAAATGAATAAGGAACAAGAAAAGCGAGAAGAGAGTATGGTAAAAGAAAAAAAAATGGATAGAGGGGAAAAAACGAGAAGATAAAAGGACGGTAAAGAAAGAAGAAGAAGAAAAGAGAAAGAGTGAGGAGCAGGAAAAGAGAGAGGAGAGTAAGGAAAAAGGGGGAGAGACGAACATGAAATAAGGAAAAGAGTAAGGAACATGAAAAGAGGGGGTAGAGTAAGGAAAAGGGAAGAGAAGAACAGGAAATAAGAGAAAGAGTGAGTATCAAGAAAAGAGAGAGGAGAGTAAGGAAAAAGGGGGAGAGAAGAACATGAAATAAGAGAAAGAGTGAGTAACAAGAAAAGAGAGAGGAGAGTAAGGAAAAGGGGGAGAGAAGAACATGAAATAAGAGAAAGAGGAGTAACAAGAAAAAAGAGAGGAGAGTAAGGAAAAGGGGGAGAGAAGAACATGAAATAAGAGAAAGAGTGAGTAACAAGAAAAGAGAGAGGAGAGTAAGGAAAAGGGGGAGAGAAGAACATGAAATAAGAGAAAGAGTGAGTAACAAGAAAAGAGAGAGGAGAGTAAGGAAAAGGGGGAGAGAAGAACATGAAATAAAAAAAAGAGGAGTAACAAGAAAAGAGAGAGAGAAGGAGGGAGAGAAAGAACATGAAATAAGAGAAAGAGTGAGTAACAAAAAAGAGAGGGAGTAAGGAAAAGAAGAAATGAAATAAGAGAAAGAGTGACTAACAAGAAAAGAGAGAGGAGAGTAAGGAAAAGAGGGAGAGAAGAACATGAAATAAGAGAAAGAGTGAGTAACAAGAAAAGAGAGAGGAGAGTAAGGAAAAGAGGGAGAGAAGAACATGAAATAAAACAAAGAGTGAGGAACAAAGAAAAGAGAAAAATAGTAACAAGAAAAGAGAGAGAGTAAGGAAAAGGGGAGAAAAGAACATGAAATAAGAGAAAGAGTGAGGAACAAAGAAAAGAGAAAAATAGTAAGGAGCAAGAAAAAAGGAGGGAAAAAGGACTAGTTAAATAGACGGTGGCGAAAGAAGAAGATAAAAAAGAAAGAGTTAGGAGCCAAAAAAAAAAGAGAGACAGGAGAATAAGGAAAAGGAAGGGTGATAAAAGGACAAAACAGAGAAGGAGGTGAGAAGAACAAGAAATAAAAGCAAAAGAGGAGCAAGAAAAAGAGAAAAGAACAAGAAAAGATGAAAAGGAAGAAAAGATGAGGAAAATGATTGTGAAAAAAGTGAAAAATTAGGCGAAATGATGGTTTCGAGAAAAGTTAAAGCCAAAGAAATAGCGAGGGTAAAAAGATAACAGACGAGAAAAAGTCAAAAGAAATACAAAACTGAATTAAAACAGACGACTGTCACGGGAAAAGACGAAGAGGAAAAGGTAATAAAAATAAAAATGCTTGCAGAAGTGAAAAACAGCAAAAAAGATACGGTAAATCGCAAGAAAAATCAAGGGAACATGTCTCTAAAATTAAGAACGAAATAAGAATTTTTTTTTAAGTTTAAATAAATGTATAATGTATGTATATATACATATATATACATTTTTTTTTGTTGTTGTTGATTCATGGCGTACATTTGGCCTCAGTATCTTCTGTGGTGCTAAGCAAAAATTACAAAGATGTTCCATTTGAAAGGACAAGTCAGAGATTTAAAAAGAAAGAGGGAAAAAAGATATGATTGATAGATACAGGCCGATACAAATCTAAGATAGATGTTATATTGTGAAACAGTTTTCATTGAAAAAAAAAAGAAGACATTTTGAATCTGCTTCGAAACTGCCCAGAAACAGTCAACGATAAAACAAAAAAAAAAAAACATTAAAAATGTAACAGAGAAACCTTGTTCTATTTTTCAGGTTAAAAAGGCACAAACCATAAGACAGATAAAAACAGTTCCAAATAAAAGACAAGATCAAATATGGAGAGAATAGAGTCAATGAAAAACGAGGAAGATCTGAAACAAACAGAGAGAGAGAGAGAGAGAGAGAGAGAGAGAGAGAGAGAGAAAGAGAGAGAGAGAGAGGGAGAGAGAAAGAGAGAGAGAGAAAGAGAAAGAGAGAGAGAGAAGAAACACTAACAATTATAAGATTTAATCTCTTTGAAGTCCTGAGAATAGTCCGGAAGCTATATACACAGCCACTCCTCACTTAACGACTTACTTGTTTACCGACACAAGATTTATGACCAGCTAGAAAAAAAAAAAAAAAAAATCAAACAAGTCGAAAATTTTGATCATTATTGTTTTACAGTGTAACCCGGATATAAGAGAGTTGTCGGGACCGGAGAAGAAGTCTCTTATATCCGAGTTTCTCTTATATCCGGGTTTGTTCTATTTTGTTTAGGTAAGTATGGGAACACTTTGGGACAAGAGAAAATCTCTCTTATATCCGGGTTTCTATTATATCCGGGTCTCTTATATCCGGGTTACACTGTATCTTTCTTCAAAGTCAGTCAGTCAGTTACAGACATGATCGGCTATGCGTGGCCGATCATGTCTCTTTCGATACATGACTGACGGGACAGATTTTTCCCGCAGCAGATTACCATTTCTTTCTGTGGTAGACTGATTACCAACCAAAACTGAAGAACCCAGTCTATCCTGCTATTCAACCCGTAAAAGATTCATACCTTTTCCCAGGGTATTTGTGCGTAGGTGAATCCATCAAACTCGACTGGGATTCGAACTCGGATCTCCGAGCCGATATCCATTACACCACAAAAATGAATCCAAATAAATAAAGAAAAAAATATGCATAATATCGAACTGAATTTCGAATGTGTTTATTACATTTACTGTTCAATACATTTTTGTCCTGGGTATGACGATAAACTACACCCGGCAGCAGGACCTCTGATCGGGAGGTTTTGAGGAGCGTGGAACCAACTCTTAACTACTGTTGTTCCCAGGCATACCCTGACTCGGGGTGGTAGCATCTGTTAGGGTCCCAGCTCTGGCCAAATACTGAACCTCTAAAATGGGGTTTAAACATTATGAACATATAAAAATACATTTTTATAGTAAAAATATTAGCAATACATTTTCATAGTAAAAAATATTAACAGCAATACATTTTTGATAAAAAAAAAATTACCCAAGCTCCCAAGAAAGTTAAATTTCGGCATTAAATGACCCATAAGGTGTTGATGTGCTGTTAAAGAAACCAATTTTGGTTGATTGATTCGTTTTTTATGGCTTATCAACTTTTTAAAGGTTATTTAAAGCCAGAAAATATTTTTGGAGTATAAGAATTTGTTGGAGACAACAATGATTTACTGATACACGTCCTACTAATTAACCCATAGCTTGGGGGAGAAGGTGTGGTTTTATACCTTTCTCAAGAGTATTTGCGCGTAAGTGAATATAACGAACCCCGAGTGAAAGTGGGACTCGACTCTCTGATTTCCAATTCCTAGCCATTATCAATTACACCAGCCGCACATCCAAACCTACAGCACCTTGTATTCCCAAGCGGTCACCCATCTAGGTACTGACCAGGCTTGACGTTGTTTAACTTTGGCGATTGTACGGGAACCGGTGTTCCAACGTGATGTGGCCGTAATCTGGTTCGATACACTACTGTGCTGTATGAACATTTAAAGATAAATGCCAAAAATGATTCAAACGTGACATTAAGCTGACAGGCACATCATGTTGAAACGAGCTTTCTTTTTTAAGAAAAGCCTGCAAAAAAATGAAAATACTTCTGATACACCCTAATAAATAATAATGATAATTTTAATATTATAGTGGAGTCATAGATTGTATTTAGATGTGTACATGAACAAAGCTTTAGTGGAAAGGCCCGCAAAAAAGACACAATTACTTCTGATAGACACTAATAAATGATAATAATAATAATAATAATAATAATAATAATAATAATAATAATAATAACAACAACAATTTTAATATTATAGTGGAGTCATTTATTGTCTTTAGATGAGTCCATCTAAATATCTTCGGAGTAAAGCCCTACAAAAAGGAAAATACATCTGATATGCCCGAATAAATAATAATAATAATTTCAATATATTAACGGGGTCATAGATTGTCTTTAGATGCGTACATGAAAATAGCTTTGGTGTAAAAACCCTACAAGAAACGAAAATACTTCTGATACACCCTAATAAAAATTATTAATAATAATAATATTTTAACGGGGTCATAGATTGTCTTTAGGTGTATACATGAAAATAGCTTTGGTGTAAAAGCCACAGAAAAAAACGAAAATACTTTTGATACACCCTAATAAATATTAATAATCTTAATATCTTAACGGGGTCATAGATTGTCTTTAGATGTGTACATAAAAATAGCTTTGGTGTAAAGTACCGCAAAAAACAAACAAACAAACAAAAAAAAAAAAGAAAAAAAAGACGAAAATACTTCTGATACACGTTAATAAATTATAATAATAGCAATTTTAATATTATAATGATTTTCCAAGCATAGCTTAGGTGTGGCACAAGACCGAAAGTAGGGGGTACCCAGTGAGGATCGAACTCACTACTCAGTCGCAATTGTTCTAGCGAGAAAAGCTTGCTAACCATTACAGCACCTGGAGGTGCCCAAATTTTAATATTATAGTGGTGTCATTTATTGTCTTTAGATATGTCCATCTAAATATCTCCGGAGTAAAGCCCTACAAAAAACGAAAATACTTCTGAGACACCCTAATAAATAATAATTTTAATATTTTAGCGGGTTCATAGATTGTCTTTAGATGTGTATATGAAAAGAGCTTTGGAGTAAAGGCCTGAAAAAAAAAAAAAAAAAAAAGAAAAACGAAAACACTTCTGATACGCCCTAAAATTTATTTAGCTTTAAAAGAATTCCGAATTTACGAGATATATCACATTCGTTTTTTTTTTCCCGTCATGTTATTGTGAAGTCGACTGTAATTAAATTCTTCTTAATCTCTTGTAATGCAACCTCACCATTTTTCAAATACGCATTCTTCTTCCTACCACTTGAGCTGAGCCCCTAAAACCAAAAGAATTCTTTCAACTCTCTGCTTAGTAGAATTGTTAATACTTTATTGAATCGCTCTTGCAGTGATAAATTAAGTTTCTCATTTCATGGAGTCCTGGATATTTGTGAGTGAAGTGTTATTAATATTTATGAAATTTATTGAATAGCCATTAATTTATTTGACAAGGTCGGGGTGAAGGGAATTTATTAAAAGTCTGTTTTGACCATTTAAGTTAAATGTACAAGATTCTGAGCAGCGTAGAAGTTCGGGATTAAACTGTTTGTTGGCTTCAAAACTAAGAGAATTATGTAAAAGTGACAGAGTGGAAGAGGCGAATTTTCGTTTATTAAATCTATATTCAAGAGTATCAGACTCATAACTAGAGTAGTTGAGAAGGATGACATGAACAGATGTGATTTGTGATTAGAAGTTGTTGGTTATTGGCTGAAAAATCTATCGAAGTAGTCCAAGATTAAATTGGGCGTTTGCGTGTTTGACAAGCGAGATAAAGACCTGGTTGGCAGAAAGGCGATGGATTTGATTTGTTAGAGAACTTTCCTAAATTTAACCCGTAGTACATCATCTAACTTTAGTCAATGAAAGGGAACCGTCTATTTTTAAAATCAAGAAGAAAAAAAAAAAACAAAAAAAAAAAAAAAAAAAAAAACAAAACAATCTTTTTGGTGGTTTTAAAGATTAGAATTATGACGGGAGCTAAGTCAAAATATTTTTCTCATAAAACTTTCTACCCACTTTGTGATAATCGCAAGTAATCGTGTACATTGTTCACGAATAGAACTGTTATGTTAATTCAACTTGTTTTCATTCTTAAACACCAATAATCCCTATATTTTTATTTTATTTTCAATGTTTTACTATTATAAAAAGAATTATAATGCATTTCTACAGTAAAATAAATTTCATTGCATTTCTATAGTAAAACATTAACAGTACAATTACATTATACAGATAACAGCCTTATTACCGCAGTAAAACCGATTTTAACCATCGGCAATCATCTTCCTCTTAATTTTCAACCCATCCCTGTTGGGAAATTACTTATATTTCAGTCTACAGTAAAACAATTTTCACTGCATTTCTATAATAAAAAAATATTAACAATGACATAATACATATAATAGCCTTATTATGTCAGTAAATACTTGACCATCGACAATCACATTCTTTCTGACTTTTAATGCATTCCTGTTGAAAAATCACTTATAATGCTTTTCTACAGTAAAATCATGTTCACTGCATTTCTATAGTAACAAAGCACATAATACATATAATAAATTTATTATCTGTAAACTTTGTTTTAATTCTTGATCACTGACAATCACATTCCTTCTTATTTTAATCCCTTTCTATTGCAAAATCACTTATGCATTTCTACAGTAAAATAAATTTCATTGCATTTCTATAGTAAAACATTAATAATTAAATTATCCGTATAATAGCTTAACTATGATAAAAAAAAATATTCCATTCACGATCTTAAAACATTTCTATAATAAAATTACATTCACTGCATTTCTTTAGTAACCCATTAACAATACATTTACATTGTAGATGTAATAGCTTTATTTCGGCTGGAACAGTTGCGTTTATTCCGGACCATTAATGATCCTTTTTCTCTTTCTTATCTGTTGAACACGCATCCATTATAAATCCTGTATATATATATATATATATATATATATATATATATATATATATATATATATATATATATATATATATATAGTAAAGGTAATAAATCCGTTGGTATGTAATCCAAGTGGATCCTATTAATATAAAATATTAATACTAATACACAAAAAAGAGCTCAATGTATTTATTATTACAGAGCAAATAATTAGTTCACAATAAAATCCAAAATTATCTCATATGGGGAAATAAAGTTTATTTCAACCGAAAAAAAATCGTCAGTCTTATTCAACCCCGGTGTAGACTGAGTTCGTATCGGGATTAGAAATTTAACTGTGACAGCTGCCATAGTTAAATTTCGCATTGGAAAAAAAAATTTAACTGTGACAGCAGTCATAGTTAAATTTCTAAATCTGATACGAACTCAGTCTATACCGGGGTTGAATAAGA